GCTGCCCCGGGTGGAGGACGCAGCAGCTGGGACAGCGGCCGGGACTGGCTGCGCGGGAGGCGCCCGTGCTCCTTCTTTGAGTTGAATTTTGCACACGCTCGACGCTTCCTGTGCGTTCGGTGTCACTACAGCTTTGTTCCCATGCGGCGGTGACCCCTCCAGTGCGGATCCCGCTGCCCAAGTCTCGCAACACTACAGAGGAGCGGAGGGGCCGGGCGGTGGGTCCGTCTGTCCTCCCGTCCGTCCGTCCGCCCGTCCGCGCAGGCATCACCACTGCCCAGTCATTACCTCAGGGGAACGCATCACTTGCCAAACGTCGGAATGCTGTGTCCTTGCACTGTTCGTTTCTTTCTTTTTCCTGTTCGTCAGTTTGGTTGGCTTTTGGGAGAGGGACTTGGAGGTGGGGCGTACGCGGCGGTGGCGGTGACCGGGGGACCCTGGCCCGGACGACACCCCACTCACCTCGCCGCAGGGCCGCGGGCCCTTTTCAGGGGTTTCTGGGGGTTTTGTTAATGGAAATTATTTTTTCATCACTTAAAAGAGCAACTTGGTAAAGATGGGCAGCTCTGGTTCTGCAGACTGACGGTCAAAAGTCGTCGTCTGGTCCCGGGTGGCCCGCGGAGCGCCGTGTCCCTGGAAGCAGCTGCAGCGGGAGGCTCTGCTTTCGCGTCTTCCCGAACAAGGGTCCTGCGCTGGGGTTCTCCTCACCGCGGCCTCCGCCCAGGGCACTGCCGAACGGGGCTCTGGGGCGTCTTCCCCGCGCCCGCGGAGCAGGCTTTTCCACAAGTGGCCTTTTCGTGTCGGACGCAGCGCTGACGGGGAAGCGAGCCCAGCGCAGTCTGCTTTTAGGTGGTTCTGGCGGAGGAGGAGGAAGCGGGCGACGTGCTCTGTTGCTGGATCACTCTGCACCCCGATTTGTGCAGAAGACCTACGGGGGCTGCTCTGGGCTGCGGGAGCGCCCGGCCGGTGTGCGGCTCTGGGCAGAGTGGCCGTCGGGAAACTATCACGGAAGTGTGTCTTCCCCGTTTGAAGTATTTCTTTACTGTTTCTAAATATTGGTCAATTCCGGATAAAGGCGTGAGGTTCACAGCTGTATTCCATGCGCAAGATTTCCTGACTTTTCAATTAGGAAGGGTCAAATCCAAAATGTTAGCAAAACAAAGTGCAATATTGAATGTCTGCTTTCTAGATTATATTCTGTGGCCGTCTGTAATTTCTCTGTTTTTGTTTTTGTTTTGTTTTTTTAATTTGGTGCTGAATATGTACGTCCTTGTAGGCTGTTTTAAGAAAACAACACGTGGGAAATGATTTACTTTTTCCTATTGCTCTTCCTTCCTTGTGGAAAATAAAGTTTTTTTTTTCTTTTTTGTATAACTGGAGATTTATTTACATCTTCATCTTTTTTTAATAATCTGCCACATCTGGAAACACTGCTGATAAACTCAGTTAAATCAAGCCATTCTGATAAGTGTTATTTTGAAATCTGCACTAAAAACTACTGAGGACTTGAAGGAATTGTGAATGCTAATAGTTGTTTTACTTAAGGTACGAACGCATTCGGCCTGTGTTAGGGGTATAGAGATTTCAGTATTAACTGAGCCCCATTTTAGCAAGGAATTTTAGATCCCAGCCCGCCCCCCAATGCTGTGTGACTTCTAGTAGAGTTGGAAGTTAAATTCTCTCAAACACTTGCGTGGATTGTTTTTCCTTCTAAATTTAAAGCTGGGTGTGGTAGGGCATTGCCCGTCAACTCGACACTCGTGAAGCTGAGGCAGGAGGGTTCCTGCAAGTTTGAGGCCACCCTGGACCTCAGTAGCAAAACCTTGTTAAACAATGATGTACGTATGCTTAAGGTGAAGTTTTAGTCATGAGTGGCTGGAAGTTCTTTTGGATTCACAATTAGAATTTTTCTGTGTGTATACAGGACCTCTGGCTTATCAGGTGTCTGAGCCCTCCTATGTGATTGTCCTGTACTCGCCAAAAGTGCATTCTGTGTACATTTGTAGTTCACATGAGTGGCATACACGTGTGTAATCCGTTCTCCAAAAGCACTGCCAGCCTCACAACCCAGCCGTGCTCGGAAGTCACAAGGGGAGGAGTCAGCAGCAAAGGGAGAGTCCTGAGCCCTGTTACCTAGCGGGTGCTGCCAGGTGAAGTTGACCTTGTCCAGGGCCCCAACGCCACACCAAGGCGAGGACAGCCCTTCGGCACCTGCAGTCCCGGAGGCGCACCCTGCTTCCGCTTGGGGTCGCGGTCTCCTTCCTGGGGGCCAGCGGCGTTAGGGAGTTGCCTTTCATTCGGGGTTGGCCACACTTAGTGGTCCTCGTTAGAATTCATGGAACAAGCGTCCTCCTGCCTCAGCCTCCTGAATGTTGGGGTCAGGTGTGCACTGCCGTGCCCAGGAATAGGGAATGAGCTGTGACAGGAAACAGCAGTATGAGAAGAAGGCATTGGTCTCTCCCCACTGCCTGAGGTGAAGGAGCCGTGGCTGGGCTCAAGGTGAGGAGGAAGACAGCCTGGTGGTGCACATCTGTGATCCCAGCGCTCGGGAGGCTGAGGCAGGAGCATTGCTGTGAGTTCGAAGCCATCCTGGGCTTGTCTCAAAAATACCAAGACCAGCAGAATGGCAAACTGCAGTCGGAGAAGAGGTGGGGTGGGAAGTCCCCTGTAGGGGGTTTGCGTGCCTTGTCCCTGAGGCCACCAGGCTGTGGGGTCACAGCCGCTGCCCTGCTCCCAACGGGAGGAGAGGCAGCCAGGAGATCCAGGGAGACCATGCGCGCCACAGGGGAAGGGGTGGTCCTTGTGCTGTTGAGACACCTTGCCGCCAGGACCATGTTCCTCCCCAGGCGGCCTGATGGTGACAGTGGGGCGACGGATGACCCTTGGGAGCCTTCGTGTGGGGAGAAACAGCTCGTGTGAGCAGTGAACCTGCTCAAGTCTGCAGTTCCCGCACTTGGGAGGCTGAGGCAGGAGGAGCACAGTGAGGACAGCCCGACTCCCACAAGACCTGGGGCGAGACCCTGCCTCAAAGAAAACGGAGTTGGTGGGGGCTGCAACACAAGGCATGCATGGCCCAGTGATGCCTGAAATCTGACCCGGCCGGCCGGTGCTGGTACTTTTCCTTCAGGCCTGAGCCAGGCATCTACTCTTACCTGTGGCAGCCAGAAACACCCTCCCGAAGGGCAGGCAGCCAGGTGATCTGAGGAGATCCCGCGCTCAGGAGGCTGAGACAGGAGCATCCCTGAGAGTTCCAGGCCAGCCTGGGCTATATAGTGAGGCCCTGTCTCAAAAAATAAAACCACACACACATGGAGGAGTTGAGGAATCGAGACCACTGACCCAGGCCTTTAAATCAGCACTGGACAGCAGTAGAGAAGCAGGAAGCCAGGTCACACAGCAGGAAGCCAGGGCAGGTGTTTTTTTAATTTGGTTTTATTTTTGAGGCAGGGTCTCGCTATGTAGTTCAGTTTGGCATTGAACTCACTATATAGCCCAGGCTGGCCTCGAACTTGTAGAGATCCTCCTGCCTCATCCTCCTGAGTGCTGGGATTACAGGTGTGAGCCACCATGCCTGGCTAAGGAGCAGGTGTTTTTGCCACAGCTGGAGGAAACACTCTGGGAGCCTCCCCTGCTCAGAGCTGAATTCAGACACAAAACCCTTTGGAGTGGGACCAGGAGGACCTGTGGACCCAGTGGCCCTCAGGTGCAGCTCTGACCCCGAAGGTGTGGCAAAGGCAGCAGGACGCAGCAGAGGCCATGCGGCAGGGCAGCTAACTGTCCTGATCAGAGAAAAAGCCATTGTTGACAAAAAAAGAAAAGGGAGAGAGAAAAAGGCTCCACACACCAGTCCTCAGGAGGCTGAGGCAGGAGGGTCACTGGGAGCTCGAAGCCAGCCTGTGCTGCATAGTGTGTCAAAAACAAACCCAAAAAGAGAAAGTAAGAAAGAAAAAGGAAGTCCCCGCTGTGCGCTGGTCTGGCTTCTCCAGTCTGTCTCCGCCTCCACCTCCACCACGCCTGACTGGTTCCCGGACTCTGCCCCAGG